TCTTTTGCTTTTCAAAGTATTCTCAAATCTTTAGGACTAAAAAATGTCCATGCTATGGCTATTGATCTCCCGGGGTCTGGCTTTTCGGATAAATCCATGGCTGTGATTGAAGAGAATGTGGGTGTTAATGTGGTTTTTGGGAATATGTGGAACGTGTACGGTGATATTAAGAAAAAGGGTCTGTTTTGGAGGTTTGATCAGCTAATTGAACAAGGCTATGTCAGTCATGAGGAAATTGAGAATCACGTATTCAAGAAAGAGAGTGTTAAGGCTATTGAGTTGGGGGGATGAAGAGATGGGGAGCGTGTTAGGCCAAGTAGTGGATTCGATGGGACTAGCGCAGGTGGACTTGGTCCTTCATGATTCAGCACTAGGACTGAGTGCCAATTGGATTTCTGAAAATCAGGGATCAGTTAGAAGTGTTGTGTTTCTTGATGCTGCACCAAGTGGGATGGCATTGCCACTTTGGGCATTGGAGATGCCTGGGGTTTAGGTTTGTGTTTACGTCGGTTCTTGCAAAGTTTTGTATGGGATCGATTGGTTGGCCGGAGGCTGAGGCTCATAGGATTCTATTGAAGGGGAGGGATGGGGAAAAAGTTGAATTTTAGCTTTGATTTAGCTGAATGGAACAGTCTCAATGGGGTGAAAGTTCTTCCAATGCGAGTGATTTGGTCGGGTGGATTTTCCAAAGAATGGAGTGATGAGGGACGGCAAGTTGCTGATGTACTTCCCCCCAGGTGACACTTGTCACACATTCTGGTGGTCGGTGGCCCCAGGTGCGCATCAGCTATTATAATTCTTTTCAGTTAGATTTTCATGACAGTTATTCAGGGAGTAGTTCATTATGTTATCTCGGTGGTTGGTCTAGAATGGTTTCATTCCTGCAGTGTGACATTCTTACCACATTAGACAAATTTGTTTTTCAACTTTGGATTGCTTTATGGTAGATAACTTTAGGTGCCACTGAGTTCTTTAAAAGATTTTTTTTTTTTTTTTGGGTACAATGGTTCGTAGAAAGTTGAGTCATAGTTTACTACATAGAAGGATTCACTGCTCTCCTAGGTGCAAGCTAAGCGCCGGAAATTGTTTATCTTCTTGATTTATGGGGCAAACAATTTGTTAGTGATTAAGTTTTGGAAATTTTAAGTATGACTGCACCAGGCAACAATGTAAAATTGTAAGCCTTGGAACTTTTACTATGTTGAGTTCCTGTTGGTTTAGTCTCTTTTTGAAAGATATGGTTAAATATCCCGGTGTTGCCTCTAAAACGTGCTAGCCGTTTTGTTGATATCAACTGCCTAAAGTTAGAAAGCAGCAGGGAAAGGCTTCCCACATAAGATGACAAGGGTTTGTGCTACATTAGCTAATAGTTTTAGTATTATTTACTGGTACTTGAGTGTTGTAGCACCAACCGTATTCCATTGTTCCCCTGCTGGTTGAGTGTCTCCACTTATGCAAATAAGTAGAAATGCCTCATTATCTTTATGACATCTTTAGCCTCATTTGCATCCTCGTATATATGTTCTTTCTTCAAGCTTAAAGATACATTTCTAGTGATAGTCTTGTCTTCCTTATTATTCTGAAAGTTCAAAGTTCTCAAATTTGTAAGAAATTGCTTTGGGCTGGTGTTCTTTGGATTCTGATTGCCAAGGACATGGCAAGCCCTATTTTTTCAACTCTGGAATATAAAATTACAAAAAAAATATTTGTGAAAAAGTCAAAATAATGATTCTACGAACTTCATGTCGATTTTGTATCATATTGATTATATGCATTTTACGACCCAAATATTTTCATTTGTTAGCATTGCAACTTAGTACTCGTCATGAATAGTACAACCCAAAGTTATCTTATTACAACAATTAGCCACTCCAATTCAGTAGATCGCATACAAAATTCAAGAGCAAAGATAAAATAATGTATTAATTTTCTTAAAAAATAAAAAGTATGAAATAAAAATGCAGAGTATCAAGGAATTTTAGACACGTCCCTAATGTGTGTGTATACATGTGTGCCTGTTCGGGTCTCATGTCCTTATCCATGCTTTATAAGCCATCATACTTTGACGATATTCTTTTGCATCCTACCTTATTTTATCCGCCTAAATGGATGGATTAAGTAGCAGATGGTTTCTTGGTCGATAATCTTATGGCTGATGAAACGAGCTTTTAGGTTTTGCATGTCTGTACGAATATGTGTATGTCACTGCATGCATGATAGCATTTATATTTCTCTCTCTGTTCATCTTATTGTATAAGTTTCTGCATATCATTCCTTGTTTACGACCGCATCATATTTGAATTATATCTTTACCCAATAGAACATGTATGCATCATCTTGAAGCTACATTCGAGTCATTCGACTACTTGGTCTTATGAAACATTCCACAACCTTAATTTCCTTTTAGTCATTAACTGGCTTACTTGTTATTCATTCGTTTTGATTTGATCTGAGAAAAAGTTACATCGAAAGGTGTATGTATTAATTGTTTTTTTGGTACATTTACAAGTTAACTGATGTCGACCAACCATCCCTATAATAATTTAGGAACTAAATGCTGAGGAGGTAGCTGAAAGTATATATGACTTTCTTTCATCTTTACCAAAATCCGCAAAGATGGCTGTGTAAGAACAAATACCAGAGCATATCCAGAAGATGATCGAAGAGGCAAAAAGCAGTGACCATCACCACCACCACGACCATGGTGTTCATGACACCACGATCACAGTCATGGTCATGCTCACGCTGAATAAATGGATGCTTATGGTCTTGGACAACGTTGGACCATGTGATTTGCATCCTTTTTTTTTTCCTTCCGAGAAAGTCGAGCCACTTTAATAGTTGGATATTATATCTTAACCACGTGATTATTCTTTTTCTTAATGGTTGAATCAGGGTATAAAACCTGTGGTGAAGATGCTATATATTTGTACTAGTTTGATGTTTCCATATAATATAAACGAGTGACTTCGTTATGGTACTCTTCATAGAAATGCCTGCCTGTCTAACTCTTTTTTTTCTCCTGTCGTTTTTTTTTGGGGGAACATAAAACGACATCGTATTATCCCTCTATAATAAAAGAGGGACTTTGTTTTGGCACTGTTCATTGGAAGTTCCCTCTTTCTTTCTTTTTCTTTTTCTTTATTGGTATTTACTTAGTCTTGTATGCTACACTACTTTATTGACTTTCACACGCAACCATCATTTCGATTTCTCTTTCTTCTCTCTCAAACAATCTTCTCTCTACATCTTTTCTTCTCTCTCTCTCTTTCTAGGGGTGTCAAATGAGCCGAGCTGCTTGGCCACTTAGCTCACGGAAAAGAGGCTCGTGGGCGGCTCGGGCTTGTCAAATGATAGCATGAGCACAAGCCCAAGCGGGTCAGCTCACCCACGGGCTATCGGCTCGTGGGCAACGAGCCACGAACAGTGACCAAAACGGTCACTTTTTTTAAAAGAAGTGACTGTTTCGATCACTGAACTAAGAAATGTGGCCGTTTTGGCCACTTTATATTATTTTTTTCCTTCTATAAATGCACCAACCCATTTCCAAATTTTTTCACACAACGTTCCAACAACTCTCACTCTCTTTCACATTTTACAATCTATTACATTCATTTCTACCTTCAATTTCAATTATTCAATATCACATTACAAATTTACAATTACGATTTTACATATCAACTTTCTTTCAATTCTCGATTTCTTTCCATACTCTTTATTTAATTAGTTACTTACTATACATTTCATCACAATTTACAAATGAATCCACTCATTTGGATTCATTTGTTGAAAGCTTGTTCAGTATCGAAGGCGAACTACCTATGATGACGTAAAGTCAATTTCAGAATGAATTTTTCGATCTGAACGAAGTATTCATTCCCGAAAATATTCCAGATTTGGATGATCATGGAAGTAGTAATACGATTGATTTGGATGACGTTGATGCTTTTGAAGTGGTATAGGAGAAATATGAATTAGATATTCCCGATGCAAAAGGGAAGTGAATGGGAAAAAATAGGCAAAATGTTGGGATCATTTTAAATTGATTTCAACGGGTCGTTTGGTCAATGGAGTTTAAAGCAATATGTAAATACTGTCAATAATGATGTCATGGCAAAAAGGCACGGTACCACCCACTTCAATAACAATAGCGGACAACCAACATTTCGTCTCGTACGTGAAAGAATATCTTCTATCGAGGTACGTTGCGGTAAGTCGAAACATTCTTCGTTCAAATTCAATAGAATATTTCCTTCATACAAAGAAACAATCGATTACTAATTTGCAAAAGTACGTGGGTAATATAACTTTAACTTCGGATATATGAGAAGTGATTAATAAAAGAGGTTATATAGCTGCAATTGCAAAATGTATAGACCCATTTTGGTGTATGCATAAAAAAATTGTTACTTTTAAAATTATTGAGTTCCCTCATGGCTAACAATATATATAACACTATTATGAACATTATTAGATAATATTATTGTGAGAGTAAAATTTGTTCTTTTACATTCGACAACTCTAGTGTTAGGCAATTATCGATAAATTGTGTAGGGTGTTGCAGTCTGATTTCGGTGGTTATTTGTTTCATATTTGTTGTATGTGTTATATTTTAATTTAATTGTGTAGGGTGGTTTGAAACATATTAACAATGAAATTAAAAAAATTAGGGATGCGCTAGAATATATCACGATTTCACTAAGTAGAAAATAAGTATTTGAGGAATTTTGTGCCGAATACGAAAAAATTTGTTAGTGACATAGGACATAGATGAAACTCCACTTATTATTAAAATCATGCGAATATTTTGAACATTTAATAACTGAATTTTATAATAATATACATATTAGAAACGTTGATGAAACTAGTTTGAATGAATCCGATTGGTTTTTAGCTTTTAAAATTAATACATTTTTGACAAGTTTTTATGAATTTACAAATATTTTATTTGGAGTTTACTATTCTAATAGCTGTATGGTGCTTGAACGTCTTTATATAATTGTAAGGGCTTTTCATAAATACAAAAAATGACCCGATTTTAGTGCAATTATATATTCTATGGAATTAAAGTTTAGAAAATATTGGAAAGACTCACCTATATTATTTCTTTTAGCATGCATCATCAAATGAAGTTTTATTTGTTAGATAATATATACTCGCGTTGTTGAAATTTATATCCCATAAGGGATTTTTTTACATTGATGTTAATGCTACGATAGTTTTTCCTTTTTTTTTTTGAAAAAAAAAATTAAAAAAATCCCCTTCTTAGAAAGCAACTTTTTGCTTTTAGGAGTGATATGGTTAGAAACATGGAATGACAAAGAATTCATTCAAGCAAGATTATGATCTTGGTTTGTATGCCCTTTTGATTTTTTTCAATTTCTTTGGTTTTATTAGTTATTTATTTTGAGTTTATTTTTTTAAAAAAATTGATTAGGGGTTTACGAAGCAATTGACAATGACTATTCTATCTGAGATTGGTGAGAAGACATTTTTCACACCCGCTGTGAGTTAAGTACTTAATCAATCTTTTTGGTGATATATTCAATTTTTTTATTTACTTATTGAGCATATGGTTTGTTTGTTTGTCCTTTTTTTTTTTTTTTTGGTGCATTGTGATTATAAATTGATGTTGTTTTTTCTACATCAGTTCCTTTTTATGGAAATTATTGCTGTCTTTGTTTATAATTTACTCGCACACAAATTTATAGAAATTTTTAGCTGAAGTAAATT